ATATAAACAATGATGTAGTAGTATGATTTTTTTGGTAAAACATTCACTTTTTATATTATTTATGATTTGTATGATTTATGATCTATGATCATTCTATTATTTATGTTTTTTTATTAAGAATGAAATGAAATGCATTATCTTAAATTAATAAATAAAATTCGTCTTACGTAGTTTAGAATATAAACAACTAGATTTTAAAATATTGCAGACTGTTGTGAGCACATTTATTTATAACTTCACAAATCTATATTTTAATCAATAAATTGATAGTATTACTGCTGAAACCATTGTTGTTTCTATTGAATAAAATCATTGAACAAATTTTCTTGTCAGTAAGAAAATCTCTTATAATAATAATAATCGATCTTAACTCTAAGCTTAGCTTTAAGCTTGCCGACATTATTTTATTGTAATATAATTTTCTTCATACTGTTAATTAAGTGAACATCATAAATTGTTGTCTCGTTGCGTAAATTGAAAAATACTAGTTGTATCGTACATTTATAAAATATTGTCGGTTGTTCTTATATCATATAACTTTATTAATTAAGTTATATATTAATTTTATGATACTAATTTCCAATATGTGCCTATCGGAGTTATAAAGCTTTTAGGTTACACCGACGCGTCGTGATAGAGTTAATGAGAATTTTGAGTGCAATGTGCGTGTGCTAATATACATCATTTGTTGCTAACAAGCGAATGGTTTAGCTCGTTTTAGGCTCGAATAGATTAATTTATATACATCATAATGGATATTTAACATTATAAATATCTGAACAATATATTTTGTATCAATTAACTATAACATACTCACAAAATAGAGAAATAAAATGGAAAAATCTAGCACTCAGTATGGCGGTGGAGCTTTCTGATACCCAAAACTCAAATAAGGAAGAAAAATTTAACGTGAGTTTTGGGCGCTGAAATATACATGTCTGACAGCATATTATGCCAATATTCAATTACATAACATAAGTAAAATTAAAACAAAAATAATTTCTTTCTCTTAAATTTATGTTTTTAAATATGCTCCTACATTCGGAGGGTTTTCCTTTGAGATAGTCAATTATATTGTATTTTCAGTTTTTTTTAGGTACCGAAGTAAGATGATAGTATTGACAATGTTTGCCAATATTTAATTACATGACATAAACAAAACTAAAACAAAAATAATTCCTTTGTATTCAATTTATGTTTTAAAATATAGGTCTCTTACATATGTAGAGATATCCTAACTTTATGATTATATTGTAATATCATACAATTATATTGTAATATCATATTCTTTTTATTTTATTTACCAAATCAAGGTTGACCTTAAATGTACTGAAAAAAAATTGACAAATTATTTTTTCTTAAGTTGCTTGGCAATTATGTGCTTTTGAATGCAACCTAGAGCTTTGGTGAACTAATGACCATTTTTCGGTTATTGTGGTTAAATATATTGTAATTTGATATTGTTTTAATTTTAGTTGCCAAAATAAGGTGATAACTGTCCTTAATTGAATTTAATGTTAATTGACCTCAACTGTCCTGAAAAAAATGGAAAAATAATTATCTTAAGTTGTTTGAAAATTGTGAGCTTTTGAGTGCAACCTAGAGCTTCGGTAAAATTATGAACATTTTTCAATTTTTGTGGTTAATTTTTACGACTTTTGTTTATTTAAACTTAGAAACCGTAACCATGATTTAAATATTTTAAATTTGTAACTAAACAAGAAGTCTTAGATCTTGAAAACTTTGAGCATTAGTGTTATTATTTTTTACTGCGGTCCTATAAATGTTCTTCACGGTTACGGTTTTAAAGTTCACAAAAACAAAATTGTTAAAAGTTAACCACAATATCCAAAAATGTGTCATGAATTCACTAAAGCTCTAGGTTGTATTTCTAATCTTATTATTTCCAAATAACTTGAGATATTTTTTTTTTATAATTTTGTTCAGTACAGTTAAAGTCAATACTATAACCCCGTTTCGAAAAAATCACAAATGTAAATGCTTAATATAATATTAATTTGAAATAAATATAAATATAAAAATATATTAAACGTTAAAACCTTTATACATGGAATCCCAGAACTCAACACAACAAAAGTGGAAATAGGTTGATAGTAATAGTTGTAACTACCATGAAAACAAATTTGAAAAAAATTCTTTGTAAAATGAAAATTATGAGCTTTTTAGTACAATCTAGAGCTTTCTCGAACTATGACCACATGTCGGTTATTGTGGTAATTTTTTATTAGTTTTATTCGTTTAAACTTTAGAGCCGTAACTGTAAATAATATTTCTAGAACTGCAGTCAAAAATGATATAAAAGCCCTAAGTTTCTGTAATCAAGACTATTTGTTAAATAATAAATCGAATAAAACCACAATGACCAAAATATTGTTCATTTGACCACAGCTGAAGATTGTGCTTAAAAGCTCATAATTTTCGAATTTGTACAGTTCCACCCTAATAAGCTTAAAAAGACCTCGTGGACATTATTCAAAGTGCTTAAATAAAATACTATAGTGCTTTTAATGGGGCCAGTTCTATTAAAAGTTTATGCTTTCAAGTAGGATTACAAAATGGTACAATACTTTTCAGTTTCATCCTAAACAAAAAACGCGTAAAGAGCCTAAAAAAGCTTCTAATTGCTAGAAAATTTACTCCCAACTAATTCAAATATTTTTTATTTCAATAGATTCAATATTTTAATAGCTTGTGAGTGAAATGCTTTGCAAAATAATAAAAAGAAAAATAAATATTTAAATATATTTCAAGAATAATCCATTCCTCTGCATATAAATTAACCTCTTCGAGCCTTTTCAATAATACCATAAATACGTTTGTCTTAATTTTAATGAATTCTATTCTGAAACGATTTAGCTCTTCTGTTTCTATTTAGTTCAGCTACATTAGCTGTTATTATTTTCACAATATTGACTGCTTTTTGTGTGGCTGTGGCAGTGTCTTATATACGGTGTGCTGTGTGTCATGGATCCGGTTCAAATAATGAATTTTTGCATAATGAATAATACAGAAATGCAATTTGGTCGCAGCGCATCCTAGTGTTACTAGTTTAGTCGGTTTTCATTATTCAAGATATGAGGAAATTGGAGAAGATGGAAAATTGCCATCCAACGTGTTGTTAGAATGAGTGCATTACTGGTGAATACATTTTTATATATAATGAGTATGATGGTTCTTTGTTAGTTAACATTTCAGTTTTAACGAATTTTTTTTTGAATGCTCAGTAAGGCTAATACACTGTATTTCTATAGAGCTATAGTATATTATTTTAATTTACTGCGCACGATTTAATTTAAAATAAAAAAATGCTAGAAACTTTAACTTATATTCAACACCTTATATAGAGTAGGACACATTGGTCCAATTTGACTTTTAGCAAATATACTCTGAAAACAAAACCAACTACATCAAAACGAATAACACATACTAAATAAACAACTTTTGAACTATGTTCAGTAAAATTTCCAGTTTTTTTTTAGTTTTTTTTTTCAAAAAAAAAAAATTGTTGGAAATTTTACTGAACATAGTTTAAAAGTAAAATTCCCAGCGAATTGATCATCGTAAAAATGTGTTTTAGCCATTTTCCAAAAATGTGTCATATGTTTTAGCCATTTTTTTAAATGTGTTTTTAAATCACAGACGGGGTAAAAAGAAACAGTCAAAGAACAAAATAGGCCTACCATTTACTTTGTAATTTTACAGATATTATGCAAAATAATAGCTACATTATTTTAACACTATAATTATTAGGCTGAACAACAAAATTCCAAATTAAAATCTAAATACATATTGAATATTTATGATAAACATGGGTTTCTATCAACTCTCACTTCTATATTTATAGATATTCCTGTCTAATTAATCATAAGCAAACTTATTCTTAATAATAACATGCAAAAATATTTTTCACAGACTAGGTGGTCCTTTTTACCCCAACTATATTAATACATATTTCTGTTTGATTAATCATGAGCAAACACATTCTGGAAAAATAATTACTACAAACAACATAATAACATGGAAAAATATTTTTCACAGACTAAGTGGTCCTTTTTTAGTGGCTATTTTAGAGGTTACATAAAAAACTATGAATGTAACTTAAAAATAACAATACGCCTTATAAATATAAATGAAATAACGTGTACTTGGAAAATATATTTAGACACCTTAAACTAAACAATAGCGCTCAAAAGCAAAACAACTTATAATGAAACAATATATTTTCGTTAAAAAAATGACATTGTAACCATTTATCTCGTGATATCGATGTTGCCTGAGTTATAAAAGTTGTGGTTGTTAAAAATGTCATATTCTAATTGTTTTAGATGATTTTATTGAACCTTTTTACCCACGGAATTTGAAACTTAGATGTGAGGCGAAAATACCAGATCTAGGTTGTATGCAGTGGTATTTTTGAAAAAATGTGCCTATAAGATTTATATGTTGTATTGACTGAATATTGTAGCTATTATTTTGTTACATTCATTCAAAATTAAGATTAAAACACTTCATTTGTTAGCTCTGGCTGTCCCATTTTACCCCGACTATATGGTGGAAAAAGACAGATGACAAATTTTAGGAAAATTGTAAAAACACATTTCTATAATTAGAGACTACCTGTGAACTTGACTAAACATAGTTCGATTGTTGATACGTACGATTTATTTGATAAATGTTATCCGTTATAATGTAGTTTATTTGATTTAGACAGTATAATTACTAAAAATCAAATTAGATCTTTGTGCCCCACCTTACCATCTTACTGTTTTAAAAATAAATTTTTTTTCGAATGCGGTAAATTATCCATAAGTGCTCAATTCTATCAATTCCTGGTTCTTAGAAGGGCATTTACGTAGTACCTTTAAATAATTTTTATCTGGTAATAATATTTATCTGTTGATGACTACCAGATTGCCGCATCAAAATATATCATTTTAAATTATATTTATAAAACAACATTAATTGTTTTTGAGCTTGTAATGCTTCGATTATCAATAAAAATGTATATTACCAACAACAACTTCTTACAACCGATGTACCTACGTAACCGTCTAATTTTCTGTTTTTCCATTAAGCAAAACTTATCTCTATCTGAACGATTTATTATTTTTTAACTGGTGAATTTAACATGTCTAACATGACAAAGTGCTAGCGAGTTTGTTGATTTGCAAAAGCCGCGCCGAAGCGAAGTCTTCGTCCCCAAGACTTTGCGAACTTGAGCTCAAATCCGCGCCTGTCTACTTAGGGCGCCAGGAAATATTCTTGAGTCCATGGAACTGCCTCTTCAGAGAGCTGCTATCGGCCCAGGAGGCGTTGAGATACTCGTCGTCATCGTTTTGCTCAAGTTTCTGAAAAAGGATAATGGATCATGAAAATATTGCACCGAAACATAAGATCTAAAATAAAAAAAAAGGTGTATGTAAACCAAAATTTAAGCTTTCGTCGATTTTTTATCAAAAACGGCTGCTCCCATTTTTAAAACTTAAAAGCCATCCAATATAACTCAATAAGACCCAAGCACTTTCTTTATATACAGCAGATGAGCGCACAATTTTTCCTTCACGATTTAACAAACCTACTTAACTAAACCAATCTTAAATAGTCAAGCCTTAACTAGTTTTTAGTGAAAATCGGCCATACCGTTTCTTTATTGATATTATTAATATAAGATTGTCAAATATATCCCTTCCGCCTTTTTGTATTATAAACCAAGAACAAAAAAGCGGAAGGGAGATATTTGACAACCTAATATAATTTCCAATACACAATTAATTCTCATATCGAAACTAAATTATTACCTAATTAGTTTTTTTTATTAAACATCTATCGATAGTCAATCAGAATAAAATTATTCATCAACACAATATGCAATATTTCTTCAATATCTTAATCTCATATTTGCTTATTAGAAAATTTAGAATCAAAATTGAAGATGTGACTTCGAGCATTCGAAATATAGAATGTGGGGCACCACAGGGCAGTGTGCTAAGCCCAGTACTTTAACCTTGAATCAATTCTTATTTACACGTAAATATATTGTGATGACCTGATAGTTTCTCATAAAATATTTCAGTTTTTTATTGTTCAAATCATGTTACACGAATACATAAATGAATATTACACAATTAAGAGAAAGTCGATGTTTTTTTCTAGAAAAAACAATTTGTTTATATTATGTTTTCTGACGTTTCTACTCATTCTGAATTGTTCGGGACTAAAGTATGAAGAAAAATATATATGTGAGGCAAAATTTTGACTTTTTACTGATGTTTTTTCAAAAACAGCTGCAATAATTTCAAAAATTTCGAAGCCATTCTATGTAGCTAGATAAGATCCAAGCCGTTTTTTTATAATCTGGAGAAAAATGCTAATTTTATTGTCCAAAACTTTGACAAAAATGTTGTTTTTAAAAATTCAAAACCTCTAAAAAATACAATTTAGGTATTGTGCTGATGGGTTCTTGGTAAAGATCGGTCGGGCCTTTTTTTCTTGATTAATTGATAAAACATGTTTTTACGATTTTGATAAAACCTTTTGTAAAGAGTTGTTTATGGTCTCAATAAATACGCCCAAATGATATAGGCCTACAAAAATTGGTTTGATTCAAAAATTCATTAAAGTATAGTCTTTCTAGTATAGTAGTCATACCTTCACCGTCACTATTTTAAAGTTGATAAATCTTAATTTGTATATATTATGAAAATTATTTACACATATCTGAAAGTTTCTGCAATAGCCTTAACACCTAGTTTTTATTTTTTTTATTATTTATAATTTTAAATGCGTTAAAAATACAGCACAATATGAAATCGGCAAATTCGAATTAAATACAATACAATACTTTAAATGTTCATTGCAGATTTATACCATGATATATCAATATAAAATTTAATTATACCTATGGCAATAATTTATTTCATATATCAATATATGAAAGCATTATTTCATTTTAACTCATTGTGTTAAATGCATTATAGTAGTTTTATTTGATAATTGCGGGTTTGAATATTATTTTGTATTTAATGAGATAATAGCGTTTTAATAAATAATTAAATTTTTATTAAATAAGTATAAATATATCAAATGTAATTTAGCCCAATTTTTATATATATTGATATATGATATATTGAAAGGAAGAAATCGGAGATAATTAATTATAATAATTTAGTAATATTTATATTTTTTCATTGTATTTAGTTTCAACTATATTAAATCACAAGCCTATATACGAATTCTAACAAAAGGTGCAGAATACTTTCTATTATTCTGATCCCTGAACCATTTGTTAGTATTCTGACCGCTCATCACAAAACAGTGCAAATATCCAACGAGAAATTGGGTCTTTTGTTATCCGCTAATTACCGAAAGGTCCACCTAAAAACAAGGATGATAGTTTGGTTTGTATAGGAATTTTGGAAGGCCATGGATATAGTTTCTGTTATATATGAGTGTTTTTACTCTATGCCGGGAATTCTAAATCACCGACGAACTTGAAAGGTTTGGGCTGATATAGAGCAAATACTGGCCTTAGCTGAGACGTATTATTGAATCAGAGAGAATAATAACATATCAAATGAACAATTATCTGAATAAAATCAGTAAAACTGGTAGATAATTCATCATTGCAGAAATGTGTTTCTTTTTGCTGCTTTTACAAAATTTGTCACGTATTTTTTTTGCCCCATAGGAGGAGTAAAATGGAACGACCAGGAGCTTAACAGGTCCAAAGTTACATTGGTAATTATAACGGGATGAATAATAATATAAACTTCATGGATACATTTTTTACAGGAGAAACATTGAATATAACCTTGATCTGGTATCACGTCGGAAAAAATCATCAGAATAGTTGAAATAACTATTTATTTAACTTTTTGCTTATAAAATTTATTTTGCTAACTTAAGTTACTTTCTTATTCAATATTTTTGATCTTTTACGCCTTTGCCATGATAACGGTTCAGTTAGTTCCTTTGATCCCATCCACATGCAAGCTTTGATAAAGGATATATAAAAACAACTGTTGAATCCAACTTAAAATTAGCAATTAGTTCAAGAATTGTCGTTAAAAAAATTATAACTTTATTTGTTCTTGGGATATAAGGAATCGACATTTATATCCGCGGACCTTTCAGCCCTGCTTAACCCTATATCAAATAACTAATTTGTCTAATATATTTTTCAAAATTAATGTTTTTAATTTAATCATGAAACGTAAATATCCCATAACGTAACAAGGTTTGAGTAATATAAAAATAAATACCAAAACAAATTGATTAAAGTGAAGGATGAGTTATACTGATTACGTCGCGAATAAACACTCTGAAATTAATTAAACGCAGGTATAGATATAAACGAGATGTGAATCTACTTATTTTGCAAGTTTTAATTAACATGAGCTCAAAATGAAAATTAATAATTATATATATATATATATATATATATATATATATATATATATATATATATATAGGTTAAGTGGTTCATAAATATTCTTATGTGTCATAATACTTGAGTTCAAAATGACTATTAAGAACCATACCGATTAAGAACCATAACGATTAAAAACTATACCGATAAAGAAAAATACTCTCGTTAATATGCATCCACTTTTATATGAAATGCCAGTGTGCAACGAATTCTAATAGAGAACAAAAAGAAAATTTCACCTTTTATGATTTCAAATCCTTATACTGAAAAGTTATTAATTTAGTAAAATGATTTTGAAATTCAATTTTACTAAATTATTTATACTGAATTTTTACTCAATACTGAAATTCATAATGATGTTCTATAGGTGGCTCATCGGCCACCCCACTAATAGAGAAATTATAGTACTACATTCCGTATAAAACTGCTCTAGCTGTCTGATTGCAGAGCACTGTACAAACAAGAGTCATGGTCCATTTATTTGCTAAACACAAATTTAGAAAGTCCAGTTCTGTGGCCTTTGACAAGTTTTGCTTTTATGCTCGCTAATTGAAATAGATTATTATTTACATATGATTAATTTCTAGTTATTTTTGAATAATATTTTTTGCATATGAAATGCATACATTTGTTCGTATTTTCCTCAACTACAAGAATGCGATGCAATATTATCACAAGCAACAAATTTGGAAATGACGTAAAATCAACATATGTTCTTTTCTCAAGTTATTTCATTTTGACTCGGATAAAACGTTTATTTCTTGTATTGCTTTTATAGTGAATATATATCAGACACCCAATTATAGTTTCTCTATCGAACTTCATGCATAAGTGAACATTACGTGTTTTCTAAACAAAGGTCTTTTATAAAAAGTTCACTTGTTTTCATATCGAAACGTTTAATAAGCTCTGATTAAATATGAGAAGAATGAATGATTATTTCAGAAACAAAAGATAGAAATACTGTTTCAAAACAGCGTAAAAAATTGTCAATACCGAAGATGCACCATCTCCTGGAAGGTGGGCCGTAGGTATTGATAACTGCAAACACCAGGTAATAGTAGTAATAATGAAAAATATAGAACATTCTATGAAATTGGAAAATTGAGCAACGTGTATATCAATTATATAGTTGTTTCTTTATAGTTTAGATCTTTTTATCTCAGAAATAATTTTAATTTTTAAATACATCTACTCCATTATATATTGATAGACAGATGACAGGACAAGTAGGTAAGGAGAGACAACAATAATATTTTTATATCAATATATAGACCTTGAAAACTTGATTATATTATAGCAAATAAATCACAACCTGATTTCTTAGTGAACAAACTTCCCTCGCCCTTGATTTCATTTGAAATATATAAAATACATATGAGCTTTATCAATAACGATATATCTTTATAACAAATGCTTGGAAAAATGTATATATAAGTTTGTAGGTGAAATCATATAAAAGCGTCTATTTTCACTCTTTTTAAAAGATTAACATTTTAATTCCATAATCGTAGCTACTGAATAAAAAATACATATTTGTGTGCAGCGCTCATTTTATACCATGCATATTATAAATTAGTTAAATCTCATATATAAGCAATAGAGCCGAGAGACATCATGTATCCATCTCTACAATTTAAAAGTTCCAATTTTATTAATTACTCATAATTATACATATACTTCTATTGATATCCAACGTTATTTTGAAAAAAAAAAACTTAATAAGACTTGAAAATAATTCTTAGTGGTGTACACTAAGAAGAAATGTCATCCCCCTCGGGGGGAGGCGGCAAAGCCTAAATTATTTTCACGTTTGAACTTGGGAGAATGATGAACCAAATTCTAAAATTTCAAGCAAATTAGAGCACAGTAAAAAAATTCAGATCCAAAACGCTCCATTGACTGGAGTAAATATTCCGT